CAGTTACAATTAATAAAGTCCCCAGTTGAACATAGACCTCCCCCATAGATTGCGTCATAATATCCCCTATATTTGCCATAGTTGGCACGTTTGGCAAGCGGGTTGGCAACCGCAGTTATTTTATTTTTATTCGTTGTTAGGAAGACGTTGCTGCCCATCTCAATTTTAGCGCTTTTAGTTTAATTTTTTTCTTTTTAATTAGTTTGTAGTTTTATTTTTGTTTTTTTTTTTGTAAAAATAACATGTCTTTAGGTGAGAGTGATCATAATCGAAGTTTCTCATCCTTCTCTTCAGCATCCGATGTATTGAGTAGTAACAACAGTGTTGTAAGCGTACCATCTTTAAAAGAAACTCTTGACTCCCAATTTATGCAGTTTTTCAAAAATTTCAATATTGTGCATATAAATGCACAGAGTATTCCGGCTCGTTACCCCGATATGCTGGCCAGCTTTGATGGTAATAACATTCATGCAATTTTAGTTTCGGAATAATGGTTAAAACCATGTCTGCCATCTGTTTCCTATTCCCTTCCAGGATTCCAATTAATACGCAACGATCGGACTGTTCGGGGCGGTGGTGGTGTTGCTGTTTACCTTCGTTCTTATATTCCATTTTCTATTGTTCGTCTATCACCTCAATCTCAAAATCAGAACGAAGCGGAATACTTATTTATTGAAGTTCACCTGTCGCACACTAAATTACTTCTTGGTGTTTTTTACAGCCCTTCTTCTTCAGTTGACTATTTTACAACATTGGATAGCCTCCTTGAAGAGCTTACTCCACTTTACACACACACTGTGTTAATGGGTGACTTTAATACCTGCCTACTTAAAGAAAATGCCCGCTCTCGTCGGCTTAAATCTCTGGTTGAAGCAGCTAATTTAAATATTCTTCCCCTTTCTGAAACTCATTTTTTTCCTAACTGCATCCCTTCTCTCCTTGATTTGGTTATTGTTTCTTCTCTCGACCATGTTAAAAAATATGGTCAATGTGCTGCTAATGTCTTCTCATATCACGATCTTTTATTTCTTTCTTATAAAATAAGACCACCTAAAGCCAAATCAAGGATACTTCTGCAGCGTAATTTTGGAAATGGATTTGGACAAATTACGAGAAGATGCTGTGAATACGGATTGGAGGGCTGTAACAAACGCTTGCACTGTTGACGAGCAGGTAGCAGTATTTAACTCGCTCCTTATTAAGATTTACGATGTACATGCTCCTGTTCGTCCAGTTCGTGTACGCCATCCTCCAGCCCCATGGTTAACCGAAAACCTTAAGAAACTTATAGCGAAAAAGAATACTGCAAAGACCAGACACGTCAGATCCTACAAATGACGTGCTTCGGGAAAAGTACAGGATCCTACGTAATCAATGCAACAAGTTGTGTAGAGACTTACGACGACGCCACATCCATAAATCTGTTCAAAACGAAGATCCAAGCCATGTTTAGAAATGCCTAAGGTCTCTTGGAGTTGGGAAATCACATTCAAGCTCGATTCAAAATGATATAGATTTAAATTTGCTTAATCAGCACTTTTCTTCTGCTTCTTGCACCGATAATGTTGCAAAGTCAACTGCAACTCAACTTTCAACGTTACCCACTCTTGACTTTCCTCCATTTGTGTTTAGGCAATTTGCAGATTGTGATGTTAGGAGAAACATACTCTCTATCCATTCTGACGCTGTCGGAAGTGATGATATCAGTCGTAAAATGATTATTCTCTTACTTGATATATTAACACCTATTATTACCTTTATCCTAAATTTTTCTATATCCACATCCTCCTTCCCTTCCCAATGGAAATATGCCCAAATCATTCCTTTGCCCAAAAAAGCTAATCCTTCGAGTTATTCCGAGTATCGTCCCATTTCAATTCTTCCTTTTCTGTCCAAATTCCTAGAACGTCTTGTCCAACAACAATTAAATTCATTTTGTTCAAGAAATGATATCCTCAATTCATATCAATCCGGATTTAGGCCGTGTAAACACACAGTACGACCACAGCATTATTAAAAATCACTGACGATATACGTTTCGGAATGAATAACCGCCAATTCACAGTAATGGTGTTGCTGGATTTCAGCAATGCCTTCAATGATGTAAATCATGATATACTAATTGTTGTACTGCGTTCACTTAACATATCTCCAACTGCAATTGCCTGGTTTCGTAGTTATATGACGTGTTCGGGTACAAGACAGAATGTCTTCGTGGCTTGATACCGTTGCTGGCGTTCCACAAGGTGGCGTGTTATCTCCTCTCTTATTTGCACTCTTCATAAATTCTATTACCTCCAGAATATCTTCTCTCTACCACTTGTATGCTGATGATCTCCAGATATATCTACAAACAACCGTAGAGGATCTGCCAAAAGCAATTTGTGATATAAACAAGGACTCAACGTGTATTCTTGACTGGAGTCGATCTTATGGGTTAACTGTTAATCCGATAAAATCCCAAGCTATTATTATTGGTAGTTCAAGAATAATTTCCAAATTAAATAAAACTCAACGTGTTCAAATTTCTTATAAGGATGTAGTGAAAACTTGGGAATCTTGATAGATTCAAATCTTTCTTGGTCTCCTCAAATCAACGCAGTGTCTCGTAAAATGTTTGCAGCTTATGGTTTACTCCGAGGAATGAATTACTTCTTACCCATCTCCACCAAAATTACGCTTGCCCAATCTTTACTGCTCCCCATTCTCGATTATGCTGACATAAGCTATCTAGACATTACCGAAGAGCAACTTAACAAACTTGAGCGACTCCAAAATCTATGTATAAGGTTCATATTTGGACTTCGTAAATATGACCATGTATCAGAATACCGCACTAAGCTCAAGTGGCTTCCAATCCGTCTTCGTCGGAATACTCATATCCTTTCTGCTCTCTACTGCGTTTTATTTAATATATCAATTCCTCCCTACCTTAAAGAACATTTCCAATTTCTCAGCTCCTCTTACAAACATTCCCTTCGATCCTTAGAAAACCTTTCCCTTCTATGTCCCTTGCACTCTTCTACATTTTACAGTAAATCTTTTTCAGTCCTTGGAGTTAAGCTTTTTAATTCCTTACCATCAACTATAAAACGTGCTCAAACAATAGACTCCTTTAAAAACCAAGTTAAAAAACATTATCTTTCCTTCTAAATCATCCCTCCTCCTTTTATCTATTCCTGTCGTTTTATGATCACTAGTCTGTCAATTAAGTAAATTCCGGCATGTTTATTAAATTTCTTTTATATTTATAGATTAAAATATTATTTATAGTGCACTCTACCCATTACTTAACTTTTCACTTATTTTTATTTCCTATTTAGGTTGTCTGGAAGAAATTGCTGCATAGCAATAAGAACGCCTTTTGTTTTTACTCTTTGTTTGTTTCTTGTTATGTTGTATTTTTTAGTGTTCAATAAAGGGTATTGTATTGTATTGTATTTCCTTGTGTAATTTATTACGACACTAATGGAAGATAAACCTCAATGAAAGAAAATCAAATTTTGTATATTTTCTGGGATTCTGTTGTAAAAGCGTATATATACATCGCTCCAAGCATGATTTACTGACTCGGTGGAATCGAGTAACTGGTACTACTGGCTTGTGTGTGTTCCTAGTATTTACAGAATGAATATCACTTATTTTTGCAATTATAATATAAGACCTGAGTGTGCAACCAGTGCGTAACGCCAGTTATGATAATATATGAATCTGAGACTTGGTTCTTCACTGCTGACCATATAAGGTACCTCAAGGTCGCTAAACGAGCTTTGAAGAGGGCTACGCTAAGTGTTTACGTGTTTGATAGACTTCGTAATGGTAATATCCTCAGTAAAACCACAGTAACCAACATAGTCCAATAGATCAGTAAACTGAAGTGGCAATGAGCCGGTCATATAGCTGGAAGAACCGAAAATCGATGGAGACGAAAGGTCCTCGAGTTGTCGGCTGTGTGTGCGTACTTTCGTGTGCGTACGTGTGTGTGCGTACGTGTGTGTGCATACGTGTGTGCATGCGTGTGTGTGCGTACGTGTGTGTGCGTACGTGTGTGTGCGTACTTGTGCGTGCGTGCGTGTGTGTGCGTACGTGTGTGTGCGTGTGTGTACGTGTGTTTACGTGTGTACAGCCTCGTAACCGGTAAGCGAAGTGTAGATTGGGCACCCGCTAGAAGTAAGAACGATCTGGTCAGACATCCTTCTCTCGTTTCTGAGAGATTTACGAAGCATTTAGTAGTGACGGATCGGTGGCGCAGTGATTTAGTATTAAGTTGCAGCGCTGTGGGCCACGGATTCGAATCCCGCACGGAAAAAGTATTTGTATGGCCTAGAAATAATTATTTCGGGTCTAGATTTTTGTTCTTGTGCAAGCTGTGAATGTATACTATCTTCACGCTACAGAAGAAATTTTATTAAAAAAATGAGTCCGCCGCTCTGCTAAAGTATTGGACTATACATATTCTCGAAATATTCACACCCACGATCTTTTCCTTCACTGCTCAACACGTGGTGAATCAGAACTTAAAAGGATACAGGATGCACACGTACTATAAAATATAGATCGAGTGCATAGCCTCTGAGGTGCCACGGCTCTCAATCCCTTAGAATTCATAGCTGTAATGGTATATAAATATCAATAATTTAATTTCATGTCTATTTTATTTCAGGTACAAAACGTATACGCACACCAGCTTATAGAACTAGTACAAAATTCTTTGCCTTACCACAAAGAACTAAGACAAAGTAGTAGTACTAAGTACTAAAGTAAAGAAGTAGGATAGGCAGGTACGAAGAATTGCGAACTGGCTGGTGAATTACTGTGAAAGTGAAATAAAAACGATGTACAGTGAAAAAGTGTCGGTCGAGTTGTCCGAAGCGTCTTCTTCCAGTTACTTTGGGTATATTTGTGGCGAATGTCAGTGAGAAAGCAAGATGGCGGACAAGGTTAGCTGATCGGAAAGTGACGCGCGCAAGCCTCGTAGAAAGCGGCGAATCAGGCGCATCATGGTAAGCTTTAATAATAATTATATTCTTTACCACGACTCTGAATTCATGTTCAATTCGGTCTTCCATTTAGCACGGTCCTGATACACAACTCTAGCTTCCTTTATTTTCAATTTACATCCATCCTTTATATTCAATATATCGCTAATTTGTTGAATTTTAGTTTGTTGTATGACTGCCTCGTTGGTCTAGTGGTTGTAGTATTGCGACTGCTGATCATAAGGTCCTGGGTTTGAATCCCGGGTCGGGCCAAAAAATAATTATTGAGTTTTTCCATCAAGAAATTCTCAGTAGTTGCCCGGAGTCAGAAAGTTGGCGGTGTCTCACCCCCGTGCCTCGGAAAGCACGTAAAGCCGTTGGTCCTGCGCCTGATCTCTCTCCGGTCGTGTCGGTTTACCGTCCCATCGGATTATGAGAGTGAGGGATTAGAGAGTGCACCTGTGCTTGCGCATACACTTGGGCACTGTAATCCTGTCCTGCGCCGATGGCTAGCCTCCGTTGAGGCAGGCCGCCGTGGCCGGAATTCGATCTGGAGGACATTATTATTATATTCAATATATGGCTAATTTGTTGAATAAACTTTAGGTCTAATGTGGCCTCTGTCTACTCTGCTGTTCACTTCTGCAACATAAATTTGCTTTTTTTATTGCATTGGGTGACAAACGAGCACACAGTCCACCTGATGGTAAGTGAATGATGTGGCCCATAGAGATCTACATTTATCTTCAACTAAGGATCAAAATGCAAATGGCGTGTTACCCCTTTTTTTTTATATGGGGAAATGCCTACGCATACCCGCCTCGCGGGGGGCAAGGACGGGTTATGTCGGACTCGCACCGACTAAAACCCCATGGTGTTCCACCTTTGTCGCATATTGGCAGGGCTACGGGAACGCTTTCGCACACATCCGCGGCCCTACTAGCGCCTGCCGCCCCATGGCAGCACCTCCTCGCGAGAGGAAAATTCCTCCCCGTTCTCCTTCCCAGGTAAGGCGCACCAGAACACATGGCGCGCCTTCCTCCACGGCCTCCAATTACGTCTGTGCAACAGACGCCCCCGCGTCCGATGCACAAAGGCCATGGGGCCAGGAAAAACGAGCACTTAGAAGTACTAGCCTTCCCGACCCCAGCGGCGGATCTGGTCTATGGCTCCGCCGCCAACCAAGATTCGGTTGCGGAGGGTAGGGAGAGCGGCGCCTCGCAATACCGACAATCCTCTCCCCCCGCAGCCCCATCACCACCGCATCAACGGTGCGGCCCCGTTTGAGTCGCGAAGGATAGGGCGAGTGGCGCATCGCCATACCAACACTCCTCTTCCTCCGCGACTCCACCTCGGCTGCAGCGGTAGAGGGTGCGCGAGTCCCCACTCGCTGCAGTCCACCAGCACACATCCAAAGTGGGCTCCCCAAGCCCACTCGGAGTGGCCACCTCAGGCCGGCCCTTTACCTCGGGCCAGCCACGTGGGTTCCTCTTTGTTCACCGTGGGAGACCAAGCCACGGCTACTAAGCCCCCCGCCACGACAAGGCGGGAACCCGTTCGGGGGGGTGCGTGTTACCCCTGAGGACTAAAATGGAATACCTCGATTCCAGTAAAAAGGGTCCCCGGTTCTCTACACTCACCATACTAAACAAAGCAGCTATTTCTGCAATTTTACGCTGGTATTCTGTAAACGTGTGGTCCTGCACAGATCACGCCGACCCATTCGTGCTACAACTGTAATATAGCTGCAGCGTGGCTCTACCACATAAAGTCAGATATATATTTTGATTTTATAAATTATAATCTATATTTTGATAATATGTGCATTTTGATTCTTATTTGAAGATAGATGTAGATGTCTATGGGGCTCAGCATCCGCTTACCATCAGGTGGAATGTGTGTTTGTTTGTCACCCTTAATTTATAAAAACATACTCAGTATTATTTTACGACCCCCAGCAGGTGTTCGGTGAATGGGCGCAGGTGGAGGTGGTGGAACTGGTGAACGATGGCTCGGGCCTCGCTTTTGGCATCGTCGGGGGACGATCCTCCGGGGTCGTGGTCAAAAGCGTCTTGCCTGGCGGTGTGGCTGACAGGGTAAGTGTTTTAATAAGTTTGATTAAAATACATACATAATTAGATATATACAAGCGAAAAACCACTGACTGACTGATTGACTCATCACGGGATCTCTAAAACCATAGAAAATACTGTAATAATTACATAATAGAACGAGTGGGCGGAGCCCGAGTAGCCACTAAAATGTCACTAACACGCCAATTCACACGTATAAATGTCAACACGAGATGTGTTTTGACGTTACAATCGTTTCCAAATTTCGCATGCAAATTATTTAGAAAATGCCAAATTGCACCCTATTTACAAATAAATATGTATTAAAACTTAATGATGATCTTGAACATTAATCAAAAGTCTAAAATGTGTAAATTTATTCAGTCTGTCAACACAGCGAATCGGGTTTGGCGACGTCAAGCCTCGTATAAAATAAAGTTGACAGCCATTCTATTGTGTATTACTATGTCTAAATCTATATCTAAAACTATCTATGTCTAAAACTATACACCGGATTGACTTGAAATTTAGCATAGTAACTCATTTCCCAATGTAGACTTAAACTAAGAACGGAAAATCCGTTCCTAAAAAGGATAACCCCATAAAAAAATGTAGATATTTTATATCTACGTTATTATCGTTTATTAGCGTGCGCATAGCGAAGAGAGCTGGTATCAGGTCGTAAATAAAGAAATAAACACCAGGAACTTGTTTTAGAATGTATACGATCAAACATACAAATATGATTATATATATATATATATATATATATATATATATATATATATATATATATATATATGTGTGTGTGTGTGTATGTGTGTATGTATGTATGTATATTACTGAATAACAATGAATTTACATAAAATATATATTAACATACTGTATAAAAAATAATATTTAAGATTATAATACTAGAACTTCTTACTTTTAAACTAGACAGGGCCTGTATCACAAAAGTCAGCACTCTTCACAAAATCAGTGCCGGCAAGATAAGTATGGGTTAATACATAGGTATACATATAAATAAAATTGGACTGTCCGTCTAAAATATTAAAATTACTGTCTTCTATTAAGCTCAGGTGGTTGTTTGCAGGCTATTTAGTCTCAAAGAACCATTTTTAGAAATGTCGTCTGTCTGTCTGCCCTGGATCTTTGAAATGGTTGAATCTCTTCTCGAGCGGCTGCCTCGTGCTGGCAAGCGCTATGTTGAGGGACTAGCCTGATGATGACCTCCGACCTGATGAAATTTGCAAGAAGTTGATGGATACAGGTGTTCCATTACCGCACTTTGGGGACATCTATGAGGGAGATCTATGTTCAGCAGGGAGCTTGTGGATGGAATATAGTGATAATCTTAGTGTTGCTAAATTTCTATAATCTTAGTTAGTTAAAATTGTTAAGATTTAATTCGCACACACCCCTACCTAGTTTGAAGAGCACCCCCCCGCCCTCCCTCAATTGCGTACATTAATCCCGTCACCACTAATCCCAGCACCACTACTCCCAACACTAAGAAAGACACACCATCTACGATAATTCAAAACGTGTTTCGCCTCTACACGAGGTATCCTCAAGTGATATAGACTCCGCGGTGTCTGACCGCTAAATTATTTATTTATTAGCCCAAAGTAACGCCTGATTCTATTAATAATCTTAGTGTTGCCACTGCTAAATAGGTTTTGAGACAAACTTGACAAACAAAAAGACAGATACCGCCGCGATTCTATGTGTTCTATTTTTATTGAATTTAGCACTGAACTGTAACATATTTAAGATCTTATAAGTATTAATCCGAAAATGGGAGAAAGTAACTTTTATTTAAAATTTATAAGAAATTCGCAAACTCGAAACGAGAAAATGTGAAGCCGGAAAGAGCTCAAGCCAAATTGCGGTAAAAGCAATAAAACTGAGATGGAACAGTGGACTGAATACATGACAACTTTGTTCCAGCGGTCTATTGCGGTTGCGTAAACAATGCTCGCAATAGGCAATAGGCACGTTGTATCGAATGAAACACAATATTCCCTTTAGCGAAACAAGGAAAATAAAGTTATTACAATTTTTTAAACCTGGTTTTTATATCCACTTTACGTAAAAGCATTTTATCAAAACAAATTTTTATGTGGTCACGAATGCACCGCTAACCTTTTGCTTTTATCACGATTATAGACCATACATTTTATACGTGGTAGATGCCATGCTGCAGCAATATTTCTATGCATGTAGCAAGAATGGGTTGGTTCGATCGAGGAAGGAACACGATCTCATAAAATAATAGCGTAAAATAGCAGCTTAATGTTGCTGTGTTTCGTATGGTGAGTTTAAACAATCGTAGATCCTTCTTACTGAAAACGAGGCATTCCATCTTAGTCGTGACGGGTGACAACGCATCTGCATTTTGATTCGTAATCGAGGACAGATGTAGATGTCTATGGGCCACAGCAACCACTTACCATCAGGTGGACTGTGTGCTCGTTTGTCACCCTTATATAAGAAGATCGTGCCTACTCGGACGGATTCCCAGGCAGAAAAATTATCCTATAACCATGAATGGTAGGACTCTTACTTGGTGGACTGACTTATTATAGTACCACACTCTAAGCTCAAGCTTCAAGTTAATTTCTAAGGTCAAGGTGCAGTGCAACGAGTTCCGTGTATTGGTTAAAATGAATGTACGTGAGCTTTCTTTAAAATTAATATTTTGCGAGCAGCCTAAAGTTTGATCATTGCAGGTTATATTAAAATTGTTACTAAATTACGAGTAAATTTACCATGTACTCGGCGATGAAAGAAGAACATCGTAAAGAATATTTCTTCGAACGCCTTAGAAATTTAAAAAAAAATAAAAACAATTGTCAAATAGTCGGCCAGTGCTTAACTGATGATTCCACGTGATGGTGACAGGTGATGAAGCCGGAGATATTAATGTACTGGTTTAACATAAAAAGCCTCGTACGATTATATTTTTGCCAATGTCAAGTAACAAACATAACATAACACATAAACACTCACGTCTGTCACCCAGAGAGGTAGGCAGAGACTACAGACTTCCATTTGGCACGATTCTGACACACCTCTCTCGCCTCCTCCACATCCATATACCTACAGTGTCAAGTAATAAGAAATTATTCTAAATATTTTGTTTTACAAAGGATAAATATGTCCCGCTGGGTTTCTTGCTGGTTCTTCCCAGAATAGAGGTGTTTTTCCGAACCAGTGGTATAAGTAATAATTATGAAATCTTATTCTTACAAAAAGTAAAAAACCGACTTCAAATAGCTATAAAAGAAATTATTTATTTGCAACCCTTGAAGTATAACCTATTTAAGAAATAAAGAATCTATTAAAACTACATTTATGGTTTTTATCGCCATTAATTTACATGATTTTTAATTCCCGACGTTTCGTTTATCAATGTGTAGTTTTCTCGAAAATGTAAAAAATATAAAATAAGAATCATTAAAATCGGTTTTTTATCTGCGAAGATATACAACACGTAACATAATTAACGCATTTTGAGAAAGTAGTTTGTTCAGAATCGTTTACTGAATCGATTCCTGTCATTTTTAATATAGGTAATTTTTATCCCAAAAATAATTAAAACTACGTAAATTACAGTCACACTAAATCTGTACAGTCAAAACAAACTGAAATGGACCGTAACTTAAGGCAATAAGACTTTTAAGAGTGCAGTTTTATTTGTATTATTACTAATTCTGTCAATCAATAGAAATAAAGAAAAATGAACTTTATTTCAAGCACGTTAAAGTCTTTGCGTTCGTGGATTTGTACTGTGACCGGAAATTAATATAACTAATTTGATAAATTATCAGTGCATAAAAATGTTTAACTAAAATTCAGTGTATGTATTATGATTATAACATAATATACCAATTGGGGTGTCTGAGGGGGTGCGTTAATTACGTTACATATTGTATATACAAGATGTAAAATGACCAATATGAAATTTTTTCCAATTTTCCACCCTTTCTCACCCCAAAACTTAATGGGACCATCGTTGAGGCAAAGCCCATTTAATAAAAATAGAACTATTAAAATCGGTTCACAATCTGCGAAGATATCGCGTAAAATACATACAAAAAAGAACATAAATACGAATTGAAAACCTCCTCCTTTTAGAAGTCGGTTAAGACTAACTTTCAATAAAAATTATACGGAACCTAATCCATATTATATGTATAGAGCCGTGGTAGCTCAGATGGTTAGCGCTCGCTGTAAATTTCACAGTACGCAAGCTAACCGGGTTCGATCCCCGCCGGCACCAATGAAATTGTTAATTGCAATTTTAAGTGCTCATTTACCACGTGCTCGGCGGTGAAGGAAAACTTCGTGAGGAAACCCGCATGTCAGAGAAAAAAGAAAAAAATTCGAAGACATGTGAAGTTCGACAACACGCATTGGGGCAGCGCGGCGGATAATTTCTTGCCCTGAAACCCTCTCAGAGATGATGATGACGGGAAGGCCTGTGCTCAGCAGTGGGACGTATATAGGCTGTAACTTTATTTTACTTTTGTGGCCGTAGAAGGAAAAGGGGAGATCTCCCGCCGGGCAAGGTATTCTGCCCGGGGAGCGGCCGACACTCCGTGTGATAGTTCGGAGAAGTTCTATATATACTGTTTATGATTTGGAATGTTGATAGCGCGATTTAGGCTTCGGTGTGTTTTCGCTTGTGGCGCGACGACAGCGCCGCTAGTATTCTATTCTATTCTTATAGTCGATGACGATTGACGACAGACTCACAATTTCTTAAGGCGCTTGAGGAGACAAAAAACACTTTTGGTTTATATCCACCGCACATTACTTGTTTCGTATTCACCAATAGTTCACATGCACAGATTAAATATACAATAGAATCAGGTGTTATCTTGCGGAAATTCATTATATTAAAGTTAGTGGTAGTATATTGAGTAGTGATATTGTGAGTAGTGGTGCTGGGATTAGTGGTGACGTGATAATGCACGCCATTGAGAGAGGCCGGGAGGTGCTCTTCAAACTAGGTA